AACTAGATATAAATTATTTTAATATTTATTGAATTTAAAATATAAATAACTTTATTGAATTTAGAAAAAAACTTTTATGTTTATTGTGCTTTGAAAAACTAAAATAATATAAAAAACAAATACTTAATCCCTTTTCACTAATTATATTTAACAAAATAAAATCATTTTAATATCTTATGTTACAACAAATGTTGATATTGATACCTTACATTTTTTAAAAATATCAAATAAGTACCTTCACGTATAAAGAAACATTATTTTGATACCTTGCCGCGATTTTTTAGACTTAAAATGTTCAAAGTACCCTTTTCATTAAAATTAGTTAGAAACTAAAATTTTGATAATAAAAAATTAAATGCATAAAAAGAAATAAAGTGGAAGATCTCCCTCGTCCCCTTCTCTGTCGAAAACCCATAACCAAATAAAATTGAAACAAGATTGTAATGAAACTGGCAATTACTACTAACCAAGCCCTAAAGAAAGGAAAAAAAAAAAAAAATTAAAAAAACCACATCAAAACAATCAAAATCAAACATTTTACCATATTAACATATCTAAAATCAAAATCAAACCCATCTTACACTCGGATTTGATCAAACCCATAGCTTAGAAAAAATTAAACCCATCTAACAATCAAAATCAAAGCCATCTCACAGTCGTGATCAGACCCATAGCTTAGAAAGGAGTGAAACCCATCTAACAATCAAAATCAAGCCGCGGTGAGACTAGCACGTGCAAGCATTGCGAGACCCCAACGCCAGTGGGTCTTGCGACCCAGTCATCTGTGAGTCGCGAATGTGGGTCTTACGATCCACTTTTCTGTGGCTCTGCAAAAAACTGCCGGTGAGGGCTCAAAAGAAATGGGAGTCTTCTTCTGCTACAACCAAGGTCTCGATAGATTAGCTGGCAAAAATCGAAGCTTCTTCAACAACTTTCTAGAAAATCGTAAGATCTGCAGCGAAGAGTAAAAGAAACCGAGAGGCAGTTTTCCGAGGTGGAGAACAGGGGGCTGGGGGAAGGGGGAGGGGCGGCAAGCATGGGGCGGAGCAGGGGAGGATTTGAAAAATCAGATTTTTAAGATATGATATTTGTTTAAAGTGATTCTTTACGGTGGAATCTCAAAAAGTTTTCCACCGGTGGAGTTTTTAACTGTTAGAGTAGTTTTTTAACGGTTAGATTAATGAATGTTGGTATTAACGCTCGTTTAGTGTTTTGATTTGAATTTTTAATTTAAGTTAAAATGTTGAGAATTTTTTATTATAATAAAATTTAAATTCTAAACTTAAAATGATGAAATAAATAAGACTTAAAAATTTACAACGCACCGTATAAAATTACTCTTGCTGCAGATCTGATCATTAAAAAAATAATCCAATGGTAAAAACATAGTGCTCCACCAGTGTAGCACTTATTAGGGTTCAATCATAAAGAATCCCTTGTTTAAATTGAAGAAAATTTAATACTTTTTAAATATTGTTTTAAGACTTTCTCTACACCCTTTAAAAAAACTTATGGGTAGAACACCTTGTTTTGACCATTTGATTACATTTTCAACGGTTAGATTCGCAGAGGGATTAATTATGTGCGGCGCGTTGTAAATTTTTAATACAGATATGTACAAATTTGACCATTAAAAACTTAATCTAGCGGTTAAAATAAAGTGTTTTATTAAAAATCTTTTTTAAGAAGTCTCACCATAAAGACTCCCTTATTTTAGTATTACTTTTTAAATATTCTGTAATCATGTTTGTATTGTATATTTTGTGGTTAACTTATTAAAAATGCAATTTGGACATTTTAAGTCTCAAAAATTGACCTTAAGAAATCAAAATGAAGCTTTTTCAAACTTGAAGGTACCTATTTTATATTATAAAAAAATAGAGAAATAGTAGAAAATAGGCCAATATGAAAAGCTTAAGACAGTATATAGGCCAATTTTTAGTTATAGAAATTAATAGGCCATAACTTGTCAAGTTATGGTTCATAACTAGATAAGTTATGGACAAACTTGTCAAGTTATGGTTCATAGCTAGACAAGTTATGGACAATAACTTGTCAAGTTATGGTTCATAACCAGACAAGTTATGGACGAAAACAGTAATTTGACATATTTATTAACTTATGTAAACTATTGGCCTATTAATTTTAATTCATCTCAAGTCTTGGTCTATTTTCTTCTTTCTCCCTAAAAAAATATATAGTATTAAGAGAGAATAATTTTATCTCATGTACTTTAACTAGTGTGAAATGTATTTTCTAAAGACGAGAAAAACTTTAAAAAAAAAAAGAAACGATAAGCATGATTTGAGATGCTTTTAGATTAATTGGAAGTTGGTGAAATTATGAATATCTATTTCTCAGGCGTAAACTTATGTAACGTTGGAATAAGTAGTGCGTTTGGTAATTGGTATTAATATATATTCTAATTATAAATGATTCGAATGTAATAGCATCAAGAATTAGGGAATAAGAAAAAGTGATTATGTGTAGCTTAGACTATATTTTTGCTTCACAGTTTTCTGTATCTATGATGAGTCCCTTATTTTATTTTCCACTTTCCAGTCAGTGATGTCAAAATTTAATAGGCGCATTGGAGCTCAACAAATCGCTGCCCTAATCAGGCACTAAGAATATTAAATGTTTAGGTATCTGGTACTAGCTTTACAAAGTGCATGAACTATATTTCAAGAAAAGAATTATGCTTTCTCGCAAATGTTCGAGAGAAATGTCCAGGCGAGCTCTTCAGGTCAAGATTTTGATTTCATTAAATATATGATCGCCAATTAGTGCGGAGCTTATTATATATTCCCCAGGTCCCAAAAATTAATTAAACGATACTAATATGCGCGCACTTAGAAATCCACACATAGTTTTGGGTTCTAATCATTTCATGAATAATGCCTTCTTTATAGGACAATATTTCTTAAATATTCGAAAGAAAAATATTCCATTCGGATTTCTAAAGAAATTTCCACGTCTTATTGCCTACGCCGCCATCCGAATAACTTTTTGTTTCCTTTCTCCAGCTTGAAGTCCGAATGATGACAAAATTTCTCAAGGTCATTCAGAGTGGGGATGGGAGACAATTATCGAGATGAAGATGGGGGCAAAGAAGGCAGTTCGGGGTAGGGATGGGGGACAATTATCGGGATGAAGATGGGATAGGGACGGCATCGGGGCATATTTGAGGCCGGGTGGACTTCTCGCCAACCTGTCCTGCAATAAAAAATATTCATCATATATGCGTCATGAACCTGTATTAATTGACGGGTTATGGAACGGATTTCCCCATTATTGATTCGGGATATTCGTGGTGCCCCATTTACCTAATCAGTTATTTTCATCGTAAAATAAATAAATAAATAATTAAACAATACAACTATACAAAACATCAAGTTAAAAATAAAAGAAAGGTTGTTTTAAATTTTCATATGTATTATGTAATAGATTATACTTAAAAGTATATATTATAGCATATTACACATAATATATCTAATTCCAAAATAGTATATAATTAAACGCGGCGAGTAAATGAAGAATAGGATCGGGGACCTCTAAACCCTCCCATACCTCGCGACCCGCGACGGGTTATATTTTAACTTTTTTACAATCCGAATCCATTTAAAGCAAAATTTTCCCGCTCTGTTAATGTAGGCACTCACAAATAATTGGATTAGCGGGTAAAATTGTCATCCTTAGAATGATGACGAAATCTAGTCCCCAAATTTTAGCGGGAATAGGGACGGAGGAAGCACTCCCCATCCTGTCTCCGCTCTGATATTATATATATATATATATATTTTATGTAAACATAATTTTTTTGAAATTACTTTTTATTAAAAAGGGAAAAAATAACTATGTTTTTTATATGGCTCTACTATTAAGATTTAGTTTACAAATGTTTAAAATTTGATTTGTATTATGAAACCTTTAATTTTAGTTTAAATTTATAATGAATTTCTACTCTATTTTTATCTTAAGTTGTAGTAATTTTTAAATGTGTAATTCTATTTGATGGAGAATGAAGCGGGTATGGAAATAGTCTCCTAATAGTAAATTCCCGACCCCGGTCTTGCCTCTCCTTAAGCGAGGATGGGATAGTTTAACGAGGTGGGGATGGGAATTTGAAATCATTTACTGCCCCTGCCTCGCCCCTATTACCATCCCTAAATAACTTTAGCAAAGAATAAAAAAATGAAAAAAAAAAATCTCATTTCTAGTGCTCGAAATATAAGACAAATTTCATTTTGGTTTTTTACTTTAAACATCTTATAATGAGTCTTTAATCTATCAAATCGTCTAAAATTAGTTATTCTATCCATTCGACAGTTAAAATCTCAACGGAGAAACACACATATAGCAATATGCATTGTAGTGGGATTTATTTTATAGTTCAATGTTAAGGCTGTTAAGAAGAAGCAAACAGTTAAGAAACTGTGCCTTTTTTGGTTGAGATTTTAACAGTTGAATGCTTGGAACAATTAATTTGTAACAATTTGATAGATGAGAAACACGTTTTGAGATGTTATAAAAGTTAGGCGTAAAATGAGATTTTAACCTATAATTCGAGAATTAAAAGTTAGTTTAAAGAAAGCTTGTTTGCTTGCAATATATAAATTAATCTTGAAAGACGCTTACAAAGTACTGATTGATATCTTCTTATTACCATAGATGAGGAATGATATACAATAAGAGCACCGATAATCGACATAAATAGTTAAAAATTCCACATATGATGATATGTCATGAAATTCAATTCATACGGTACATTATTACAGTCAATTAGCTAACTTTGTTCTTTTAGTACTAATCAGCAAGATTTAGACGCATCTTGTTGTGTCTGCACTTATAAATCCTTTATTTTATAAAGTGAATTTTAGTAATACTTTCTTGTTTACCTTTTGTTAATGTTACACTTGGTGTTATTTAGTACTGTACAAAACTCGGCTTACGGCAACACCAATTTTTTTAGCTTAAAATAATCGCAGCGAAAGGTAAACGATACCCCATATAGCCCACTTTTCCTTAGACATGAATTGTCAGCTCTTCTCGCCGCCGTTCTTTTGAAATCCAAGAAAACTTTTTCTAGATCTTCATTTCTTGGCCTTTTTTAAATCTTATTTTCTTCATTAGGTTTTGTTTATACCAACAAGACAGTATAAATATGGAAGCCAGAAGAAAAATGGTACACAGCAACTACGAGAGAGACGGCGGTTCTAACAAAAGCGAAATCGGTTCAAAGGGAATTTGTGAGGGACCTTCGGATCTCTCTGACATATTGAGAGGCCTGGCTTCCAAACTTAGACACCGCGATCGGGGCTTAGCCGCGAGCTCTTACGTTTCCATGAACACCAAGTTGTCTCCGCCTGGGTGGCCTAGTAATAAGCGGCCGAATAAGCGCGCGCTTCTCTGCGGAGTGTCGTACAACAATAAGAGGAAATACAGGCTTAGAGGAACCGTTAATGACGTGAAGGACATGAGAGATTTGTTGATTAATAAGTTTGGCTATCCTGCTCATTGCATCCGTGTCCTCACAGGTATAATATTAGGTCTAGTTCATTTCACTTATTCGAGTTTTCAGTTTTAAGTTTTTACAGTTAAAAGTTTTCAGAAAATGTCACATCTAATTTTTTCTGCTACAGTTAAAAGCTTTTAGAAAATGTTACATCTCAACTCGAGTTGAAAGCGAATGAGGTCTTAATATGCATACGTAAATTAGGGTTTTTTTAATTTTTAATTTTTCTTAATTTTTTTAATATATATTGTACGTTAATTGAGTTTCCTGTTTGATTCTTGAAAAATGTTGAGCAGTTGAGTTAAAGTTTATTCGTCAAGAATAGATGCAAGAAACTTCATTTAAGAGAAAAGAGTGTAAAAGTGTAAAGCGTTATTGAGAACCAAAAAAGAGTGGATTTTCTCAAATTTTTAATACGTTTGTTCTAAAAAACTGTACTAGAGAATTAATTCCCAATTTCTTATATATTAATCTTTCGTTTTTTCATTATTTTAAAAACAGAACATATATAAATGGTTTCAAAGGTGGTGTGGAAACATGATGTACTTTTTCTAAGTAGTTTAGAAGGGTTACTTTCCAAAAGGATGGCTTTAGATTCTTCGAGTATAATTGACGTCAATCAGATCAGAAAAGAGATTTTTTTTTTTTTTTTTTTGGTTTCGGAATAGAAAAGGAAGATATCACACGCTTATACTTTATTCCCCACTTTGCGAAATTGTTTCTCTTTTCCTTTTCAATATTCTTTGATAATTATTCTTTGATCATTATAGATATATTCCTCTTGATTGGAACTTTTTTTTTGTTTACTTTTTTAATGATCATTTGGTAAATTATTACAGTTTACCATAGACGTAATTGTTTTTGGTTGAAATTAAGAGGAAAAGACAAAATTAATACCTTGACTTATACGAAAGGTCTCATGTTTTCATTATGAGAATGTGGTATGAGGCAGGAGAAAGAATGAATATCGTTATGTCTCTTTGTCCTTTTATGTCAATTTCCACTGTCCATGGTACAAGGATATTGAAGCCTCTCAAGAAACTTTTCATTTTTTTTTTTTAATGATAAGAGAGGACAACCAATATCAAGATTCGTATAGATACCGTGTTTGTTTTGATGCGCAATATTAAAAACTTGTTACTCATTAATAGGAGAAATGTGTTTTTTCATTTCATTGTAGAAATTATTAAATATGGGGTTATTAGAGTAACAACAAATAATACACTCAATGCAGAGTTTGAGGCAAAGGAATTTCACCCAACGAAGAAAAACATTGAAAATTCCATGAAGTGGCTCGTGGAGGACTGCCAGCCAGGAGACTCCCTAGTATTCTACTTCTCAGGACATGGTTTGCGTCAGCCGGATTTCAAAGATGATGAGATCGATGGATTTGACGAGACCATTTGTCCGGTTGATTTTATGCAAGAAGGGATGATCGTAGACAATGACATAAATACCGCCATTGTTAAGCCGCTCAAGCCTGGTGTCAAGCTTCATGCCCTCGTTGATTCTTGTCATAGTGGAACTATTCTTGATCTACACCATGTTTATGACCAAAAAATGTAAGTACAAACACACACACACACATAGTATTTAGCTTTTGCCTTTTCTATTTATAAAACTTTGGTGTATATACATACATGCATACATATAAATACACATATACATATTCATATATACATAAATATATGTAGACCAGTTTTTAATAGATGGTGACCACTAACTATTAAAAACTCATATATATATATATATTTGGTGTTTATACTTATCAAATATAAAAATTTAAAGAGGTGACGTGATAAGAATCAAATCTCATTAACTGTCATTAATATTTTAGGTTAACTTTCTAATTTATTACAACCGTTAGATAAATATTTTATGGCTAAAATAATAATACCTATTAATAAATAAATATTAGAGTAACCATTCAAATCACACCCATATATATATATATATATATATATATATTTCACAGCGTTCATCGAGTGAAGATTGACAAACACTTACCAAAATGATAAGTGTAATAAAGTTAGAATTAAAGTTAGTTACATTCCAACAGAAATGGTGTATGTGCATGCACGCTCATATGGTGCATGTATATATACGTGTCCTCTATAGACCATGCAATTACAATTCACAACATTTAACTTTAGCAAATCGAATTCAGAAAGGCTGGCTAAGTACAATAATTAGAATTGTACAAATGTCGACGCTTGATATTTACACACATAATCATTGAATACTTGATTGTGGAACTGTAGAAAGCAATGGAAAGACAATAGCCCTCCTTCAGGAGCTTCGAAGAGCACAAGTGGTGGATTGGCTATTTGTCTCAGCGCTTGTGAGGATCATCAACTTGCTGCTGACACTACTGTAAGGGATAGTTAATTTGTCACACACACACACACACACACACACATATATATATGTATATGTATGTATGCGTATATAGACACACACACACGTACACAGATGATTACACTGGAGAAATATTTGTTTGGTTTCCGCTCCTTAAAAAGTTTTTGTTTTAATTGAATTGTAGGTTTTCACTGGAAAGACAATGTATGGTGCTTTGACATTCATTTTCATTGAAGTAATCAAGCAAAACAGTAACTTAACATACGGGCAACTACTGGAGGACTTGTCTGAAACCTTTGATGAGAATGCTAGCCGAGTGAAATGCCTCAATTCAAGGACTTTGGCAAGACTCTTTGGCTACAGGATAACGCAGGTTTCTTTCTTTCTTTGTTTTTTTTGTTTTTGTTTTTGTTTTTGTTTTTTTTGTGTTGTTTTCTCATCGGTCTTAATTTATTCTTGTTTTCATATAGGCACACGCCATATGATCCTTGAATTAGATGTATATGCCTATTGATCAAAAGATTAAAAAGAAAAGTGGTTACAAGCATAGTGTAGTAGATCCATACTAGAGGGTAGCTCCGATCTCAAATTTTGATCTTTTTTTTTTTTTTTTTTTTTTTTTTTTCCCCCACCACTTGACAATTAGTTTTCACCTTTACATCGGTACATGCAATTTTTTTTTTTTTTTCCCGACACACTTGACAATTAGTTTTCACCTTTACATCGGTACATGCAATTTTTAATACTAGCTGATGCGACATTTTTTATAAGCTCCTATTAATAAAATAATAAATGACATGTTATATTAGTTGATATTAAAAAGCTGGGATATAAGTACGCATAGAGGTACTCATGTTACTCAAAACTTTTATTTTGAAAAATCATACATGATCTAAATATGTATCGGATTATGTATATATACACATAACCCTCACTAAAAATTTAAAAATTGATCTTATAGCCTCATCAAATTTTATTTTGATTATTAGTTCCCACACATAAATTTTCGGTTCCGTTATTGAATATAAGTTGGGTCTCCAATATTATTCTATTTTGATTAATGCATATATCCTTTTTTTTTCTTTTTGAGAATTCTTTTCTTTTAAGGTTTTCTATTTGTTAAGTTAATATTATTTTTGTTTTGAAATAATTGCATTAATAACATTAGTTGAGCTAAGATAGTAGAGATTTTTTTAAGGTCTACTACAATTAGTTTTGTCATAAATAGTCTCAAAAATAATAATTTGTAATGAAAAGTTACTAACTTTTGATAATTGTAATCCTTGTCCATAAGAATGTAGTAATTAGAAACCATCAATCTAACATTTAATCTATGCGTATATTCTTCATATACATGGTTTTTTCTTCCTCTATATTTCTAACATATAATTCTTGCTTTTATATTTGTGTAGAAATAATCCTAGATTTGATTTCTTTTAATTAAACAGTTGATTAATTTTCTTTCTCAAACTAATTGTTATTTTACATTATTTTTGATATCATGAACTTGAAGCTAATTCATTTCCTTTACATATGCAGAAGCCTTTGCTATCATCGTCTGAAAAGTTCGACGTTTACTTAACGAAAGTCTCCCTCTAAAGAAATATTGTACGCGGTCATGGATTCTACCAATAAAAGAAGAGCCGCGGTTCCAAGAGTACTACTGTTTTTATATATAGTTTTTATTTTGCACTTTAAGATATGTCCTACAATATACAATAAGAAATGCGAGTGACACTATTTATGTTAACTCTATGCATTTACTGTTTAACACGTAAACTCCACTATTTAATTTCTGTTTAAATAATAATATATTATATTAATGCAGTCCACGTGTCAAACAAATAATGTAGAGAGAGACAAAAGAGTGTCGTTAGCATTTCTCGTCCTACAATAATACCATCTTTAGCCGGTCTCATAACCTATCACGTGTACACTTATTTTTTTTTTGTTTTATTTTGTTTTGTTTTGTTTTATTTATATGTTTTTTTTCCCCTTCACGTAAACATAAGATCGCGGGGAGAAGAGAACACTTATAATGGGACTGAAAGGAATAATACAGGTTTTTATATGTAGTACTTTTTTTTTTAAAGAAAAAAAAGAAAGAAATGTAGTACCTCTATTTTACGTGCATTGAAATAACGGCAATATGAAAGAATGTCATATTAAATTAAGGAATTTGACATCTAATTTCTCGTAAAATGCTGTTTACGTGATGATACCTTGAGGTTGGTCCGATGGAGTCTTAATTCTTAAGATTTATAGCAAAATCTTAATAATATTTCACGACTTGTTACAAAGATGATCACCCTTTTATTCAATAAACTCAACTTTGTGATTTTGATCAATAAAAAGACCCTTTTGTCTGCAACCAAATGAACACCTCTAGCTAGTTGAGTAGAGAGTCAAAACCCATTGGAGAGAGCTCTTGAATCCAAGTAAAATAAGTAGAAAATCACACATACATTGACAAAGAAGAACATCAAAACACCCATAGACGGCTCAAAGCAATCACCAGAAGATGTGTCACGTACAGGTCCAGAATGGCACCAATGGCGCCGTGCGCTATCGTCACCAGCCCAATGCTGTCATCGAACCCACCTCCCCTCGAAAGGCTCTTCTCTCACACTTGATTCTCTAATCTCTAGGATTTTCTTTTCAGCTTTTCTTTTTAGTTTTGAGGTCTACAGCCTTTTCTTTTTCTTTTTGACGATTAATTAAAGTAAGTTTTGTTTTGTTGAATTATACATTATGTTTAGTTTATCAAATACTCTTCGAGTAAGATCACATGCCTTGCATGTGATACATTCCGTTAAAAACTCAACGAAATGGAAAGGGTTATGGCCAATATTTTGAGAGCTTAGAATTGTTTTGCCAAAAGGGTTAGCCACATTGACACATTCTGTGTTTTGCCAAAATTATAATGACAACCCAATCACATTAACACCCTGTCCTAAACTCTGTTAAATTTATGTGAGAAATGTCAAAATTACCCCTTTTCGATTATGTGATTTTTTTTCCTCTTATTCTAGATTATGTAATTTTATTTGTTTATTGTTTTAATGTGGTAGAGAACATGATATGTATCATTTTCAAATATTACAGGTATAAACTGTCCAATAATATTATTATAAAAAAATGAAAAAAAAAGATTTTTGGATGGCAAGGGAACAAGAGAAAACATTATTTTCCCTTAGTTACCATTAGAGTAATTGAATGTTAAAGATTGTAAAAATCAACTTAAACTCATTTTTCAGGTTAAATATGGGTAAAACTGACATTTTCAACATTATAGATAGATCAACTGATACCTGGAGGGGCATTTATGGGATTTTTAAAAAAATTAACAGTCAACATTAACGGTCAATAAAGAAGTGGGTGTATATGTAATTTTTTTTAAAAGTCAAGTGGTGTTAATGTGATTAGTTTCGGTCAAGGGGGTATCACTATAATTTTGACAAACACATTGGTTGTCATGAGTGTAATTAACCCTTGTCAAAGTTAAAAGAAGAGAGACTAAAATATCACATACTAAAGAGTTAAAGAATCAACTGTGTAAATTACCGTAAATTTTATCCAATTAAATTAAATTTTACGACATATTTTCATTACTGTCATAAAATTTCATATATTATGAAATTTGACATAAAAATGTCATCCTTAAAGACCTTTGCAACGACATTTCTTCCAACATGTTATAAATCTTCGAAAGGTCATTCAATTTGTTGTAATGTTTCTTATTTGCAAAATGTCTTCTGAGGTGTTTGTTTGTACGCTGAGAGTAAGCTCATCAATATGTGTTTGTGCCTAGGTTATAATCATGGAAAAGTTTCTGGTACCTAATAAGATACCACTTCGCAATCTTTTAATTTCCACAACAAGTTAATGATTAAGACTTTAAGTATTGAATCTAATTGTCATAAAATGTTTTAAGTTTAAGACTATTTGTAGTATTATGTTTTTTTTTACAACTAAGTGTGCTATGTTCTACGTTAAACTCAATAGTGATTTATTTATTGTGATAATTAGTTTAATCGTTTAATATGGCCAGTCTTTCAATATCAAAGTTTATCTCAACATCATGATAACTATATATACCTAAATTCATAAAGTATATAAGTTGATTCAAGTCAAATTAACGTTTTAAAGTCTAATATGTTAGCTAAGTAACCTATCTGAAAAATTGAGTTACCACACTATCAGGCATGAGGCGCGCACACATATCAAACTGTAGTGACGCAGCTCGCATATCGAGCATTGCTGGCCCATTATTGCATAGCATGTAACCACTAACGGCACGGGTCATGCTCATTACTAACTACTACTTGCTCACTCGCCCACTGTACGCAACCACAAGCATAATGACCTCATAAATCATTAGCTTTCACTGTCATATTGAAATTAGAATCTTTCGAACTTTATAGGTGCGTTTGAAACTCGTTTTAAAATGATTTTATTTTTTGTATGAAAATGAAAATGAAAACGTTTTTAATCTCAAACAGAAATCATTTTTGAAAATGCGTTTGGTAGTTTTATCAATAGATTATTTTTAGTATAAAAAAACCCATTAATGGTTCTCTCTCTCTTTCTCTCTGCTTGAGAGAGGAGAAAACGAAAATAAAAAATGAAAAACGACTAAAAATCGTTTTTCATTTCTCTCATTTTATACTAAACCAAAAAATCGTTTTCATTTTTATTTTTTGTCTTTATTACGTTAAACGCCATTTTAAAAATGTTTTGATTTTTTTTTTCTCAAAAAACGTAAAAAGTAAAAATGAGATCAATTCCAAACACGACCTGTAAGTTTTGGAAGTTCTTGAGGACGACCAATAATGGAAATTAAGCTTTCAACCAGAATTGCTTTGCATTAAGATCTGGGACCAATAGGTATACCTTAATTTTTACAAGTCAAAAATAAGAATCCTTGGGTGACAAACGGCAACTATGCACCTACAACCCAATGACAAGGTGCACGCACTCAACATCGAGCATCATAATAAGATCGTGTCACTAAGCCACATTTGATAAGAGCTGGTTCAGTTTGAGGAGCATTGATTGGTCAGTTTGAATTTCGCTATACTAGTCGTTATGCGACCAAACTTGGGGAGTGCGACCAGTTTGAGGGGTGTATGGTGAGAAGAATGTCGAGAATTTTTTTTAAAAACTTAGCCAACTAATTATTTGTCTAATCTTTGCAATGAAAGATCACCCCGGCCTCCTCAATCACGTTCCTATGAATTTTGAGATACTCGATGTGTTAGTTTACCAATCCATCCCAAAAGCTTAAGCTATTAGAAGGTGGGCCAACAATAGTTTTATACTTTAACACTCCCTGGTTCAGTTTGAGGAGCATTTCAGTTTGAATTTCGCTATACTCGTCGTTATGCGACCAAACTTGGGGAGTGCGACCAGTTTGAGGGGTGTATGGTGCCAACTAATTATTTGTCTAATCTTTGCAATGAAAGATCACCCCGGCCTCCTCAATCACGTTCCTATGAATTTTGAGATACTCGATGCGACTCGATAAATAGGAAATTGATGCTCGAACAGAGGATTCAGATACCCACACTCTTACGACAGTGTATATTTTTTTTTTACATTTAAAGATGAACTATGCTTATAAAAGAGAGGATGAGTACGTAGCTCTAGAAGTTCAACAAAATAGCAACAACCATAATCGATGAGGGCTTTGATTTAGTACTTAAACCGTTCTAAATTCCGGTGTCTTTTGTTTTTACTTTGTTTCACATTATACCTGTTCGTTGATATTCAATCTTTTTAAATCACGTTTGGATTTAGAAGTTTAATTTGCTTGGAGGTTGACGTGATTCTATCACAAATCATTAATTTATACTCGTATCTTTCCGCCAGACTAACCCTAGAAGCACTAGACTTTTTCAGCAGAAAAGAAGCATCATACCTTCATTTCAGAATTGGCCAACATAAATTAGCTGGTCTGAATTGATTTCTTGCGGATCCAATAGGAAAAACCATATCTTGATCATCAAAAAAGGAGTTGCGCAAAGTCAAAAAAGAGGGGGAAAAAAAATAAAATGGAATCTGGTGCTCTTCCTTTGATCACCAGCTCATCATACCGAATATATTGCCACAATCTATAAGAAATTCTACTTGTCCATTTTACAACTAATTAATGTTGCCAGCAATGTACATATGCATGCCATTTTTTCAAACTTCAGTACTATTTAGCTTTGGCGACATCTATTAGCATTCAATATTTCATGAGATCATGTTATAGATTAATTTATTGTAAGAAGAATATACACACATATATATATATATATATATGTGTGTGTGTGTGTGTGTGTGTGTGTGTACAGTAGAAACAAAAATTGAAAAATATAATGAAAATCTTACGTCAAAGAAAAATTAACTATTTTTTTTTTTTCATACTCCCACAAAATTTTCCATTCCATTATATTCAGGTAAATCCCATCTCTCTTTCAGCTTAGTTTCTCTCTTCTAGAGAAACCCTCAACCATTTTTTCATCCTCCTAAAATCAATGGCCCGTAGAATAGAAAGGTGCAATCGTTGCGGGGTTGAACTTCTAGTACCAACTGACACACAAATTGTTCGGTGTGCTGTATGTCAAGCGATCATCAATATTAAACACAGTAATAACTTCAACAGCTCGTTGATTCACGCCCAAGACTCGATCCATCATGCTGCCTCGATGCTTAGAAATGCCATAGGTTCGGTTATGGCAGTGAATTCAGCTTTCGGAAACAGTTCCTTGCAAGCCGGAGGCTATGGCTATTATCTTCAGCCGCCTATGGAGACTCCAAGGCCGACACCGTCGACCGGTTTACCACTGCCTTCGGTGTTCGGAAGGAGGCGGGCCGTGCTTTGTGGAGTGAGCTATCTTGGTCAGAGTTGTAGTCTTAAAGGAAGTGTTAATGATGTAAACTGCATGAGATATTTTCTCGTTGAGAAAATGGGGTTTCCTATTGAATCCATACTCATCCTAACAGGTATGAACTATAATTTAAGTCCGAGAAAAAACATGTATATGAATGGTTAATCCGCTCTGAAAAACATATATACATATATACATATATATATATATATATATATGAAGCTGTTTTTTGTGTATCTTTTTGGAGAAAGTATATTTGGAAGAAGTCTTCTAACCGATCAAAACCGACGGGAGAAAAATCCAAAATATTCTTTGTGTTGGCTTCATTCTTTTATGCCTTTAAAATTGGTGGAAGGCTAAAAAAGTTCCATACGACTTTTTTCTTTAAACGAAATAAGCATATATTGAATTAAAGTGGAAAAAAAAGTAGAATAATGTTAGTTGCACCCTAATTGATTACTCTACAGTACTGTTAATCGCAAAAGAATTTTCCAATCTGTTAATTGAAAAAAATAATAATAAATAACAAAAGAATCGAATGATCATACATATGCAGAATATGAGGCAGACCCTCTAAGGATCCCAACAAAAAGAAACATGCAAATGGCCTTGCGGTGGCTGGTACAAGGCTGCCAGCCAGGAGACTCCTTAGTGTTTTACTTCTCCGGCCACGGCTCAAGGCAGCAAGATAGCGACGGTGATGAGATCGACGGCTTCGATGAAACATTGTGCCCGGTCGATTATGAGACCGAAGGGAATATTCTTGACGATGAAATTAATGCTACCATTGTTAGGCCACTTCCTCAGGATGCGACTCTTCACGCCATCATCGATGCGTGTTACAGTGGAACTGTCCTTGATCTCCCCTTTGTTTGCAGGATGAACAGGTATGTAAATGGAAAAGATGGATAGTAACAATTCAAACAAGCGCTCACTCTAATTTATTAAAAAGATACAAAAAAAAAAAAAGTAAAAATTTCATAATCCAGTCACAAAAGTAAATCAAATAACAGAAATACATATATCTATTGTTTGTCTTGATCATGAGTGAGTGGGTTAGATGAAATCTATGCACGTATAATTCATGTCATTATAATTGCATATGTTTGAGAAGGGAAGGATACTATATGTGGGAAGATCAGCAGCGTTCATCGGTTAATAAAGGAACAAGTGGTGGTTTCGCTGTTTCTATAAGCGCTTGTGATGATCACCAAACCTCTTCAGACACTAGTGTGAGTAGATTTTCTCGTTAAGCTCCTTCCTAGTTGAACTTTGCACAGCAGAATTCATAGAAATATACAATATATATATATATATATATAATACACGTGTGTATAAACCGTTATTGGCCTTAAAAAAGGGATTGATGCAACTCTCTGCACTGGATGTCTAAGCAAGTTATTGCATACGATACCAATGTATAGTATTGAGCAAAAATTATAATACCAATGTGGTACAAAATTTTTGGAGTCAGTTTCTGGTCTCAGTCAAAATATAGACTAATTCCATTTTAAAGATTTACAAGAGTATACTTTTTTATTTCTTATTTTTATTTTTTTTTAATAAGAAAAAAGGTACAACTCGCATCAAAATATCAGAAGCACACGCTAACTAGGTTGGAAACACCTGTTATTAATCAAATCTCGTCACGAGCACTTTACTCTGCTTTATTAAAGAGAAACCAAAAACACATAATGAGGCACCAAGAGTATAAAACTAATGAACAAGTGGGGGAAAAAAAAAAAGAATTCTTTTGCAAAAGTCTTATAGGAGCACATGTTAAATAAATTGTATTGTATTGTATTGATCTGCAAAGTAAGTTAATGTGGTTGAGTTGGGGCAGGCTTTATCAGGAAACACTTTAACAGGAGCCATGACATACAGTTTCATACAAGCTGTGCAAAATGAGCCAGGACTGACTTATGGGCGCTTATTGAGCGCAATGCGAACCACAATTCGTGAAGCTAAAACTGGCATACGCCTCAGAGGTCCCATTGCTTCTCTTGTCAACAAAATCCTTCGTACGGAATTGTCGCAGGTATCTATATATATATATATATATATATAAATCCTTATCAACAACGTATTACACATGCAAATTTTTATGAGATGATTAATTTAAGGAGAATTTCTTTTGGTTGGCATTTGCACACATGTACAAACACTCTACGAAAGTCTAGGACTATTTTTGTTGCATTTAAAGTCTGAGATTTGAAATATATTTTTATTGATTATGCTAATGTATTTTTTCTTTTCATTTCGGTAATTGCAGGAGCCTCAGTTGTCCTCATCCGAGAAATTTGACATTTATTCCAAGCGATTTGCGTTGTAGTTAACCGCCTGAATCTTTGTGGATTACTCAATTGTAAAATATGCACATGCATAAAACTGATTATAAGCAAAGCTCCAAGTTAGGTGTAATATAACTACCGAAATTCATGTGTAAAACGTGTAATATAACTGCGGAAATTCATGCATAAAACGTGTAATGTAACTGCCGAAATTCATGTATAAAAATCCTAGCTGCTTGATTGACTTACTCGGTATTATAATTTCTACGAGTATCAAACACAAGGTGAAGAAAAAAGCCCCAGTTGGATCAAATCTTGATCTTATGATGCGCAATAATTGAAATCTATACGCAAACAGATGATAAATATTGTTTTGCTGCGGAAGTTTCCATCATTAAGGACTAATGATAGAAGTTAGTGGTGGTTCATACTGCAATATCCCTCGACGGAGTAATATAGTTGCCCACACATTATAACATTAATTGTCCTTTTGTTTTACAGAATAAAATTATTAGCTTGAAGATCATCCTAGTTGTATTAACACTTTTGTAACAACTCACATGGCTGCTCTGATTCAATGAAAGTCATTCTCATTCAAAAAAAAGGGGGGGTATTTTGAGTTTTTGATCTTCTTAATTATTTAGATTAATTGTTTCTGTCATTAAACATACATTAATCTAAATAATTTAAAGAAGACTGTGTGCCAAATGTGCTGACGTCTAATAATTGAACCAGCTCCCTTGGTAGTCTGGAGGGTTACTAGTGACAACTTGCTGGGCTATTTCGGTGCCAGTGGTAAGCTTCCAAATCACCAACGGTAATTGTCTGGCGTACTCTGGTAACCAGCACGAGTGGTAGCAAGCGAGGTTATTGATGTAACGACTACTCAGCCACGGTGGTATTCTACTGCATTACCAGCGAAGCCTGCCAAGTTACTAATCGAAACATACCGAGGAATTAAAGGGTAAAGTA